GCCATAACATTATGATTTTTTACAAGTGTATGTACACTTTTGACCACAACTGTATTTGTCAGTTGGAAAACAGGAAATCAAATAAATGAAGGACTACTAGTTTGAAACATAATTTGACTTTTAATTACATAATTTGATGATTAATGAATTCCTATTTTTGGAACAACTCCATGAGCAACACATATGGTCTTTGGGGCCACCTTGTTGGTGACTTCTGTTCTATGATATGCCAAATAACCAGGTAGGAAATTTTAAAAACTGAAATTGAAAGACTTTCAAAGGGCCAGGAGAGCTGTTGATCATAATTTTGAGAGGTTAAGATGGATCAAGCACTTCGTCTTGTGTCTTACTTGGGATGTTTTTTGTAGACGGTCCCATCCACTCCCACTGTCGTCTTCAGATGAGGCAGCCCTCGGTTGGCAAGAATACGGTTGGCGATGGTTGCCAAGGCAGCAGCACAGAGACGAGCAGAACGTGAGGAGATGGTCTCGCAGACAAGTCGAACCACACGGGCGTCAACCAAATCCCACCTCAGACCCAATTCAGTCAGAATCTTTTTGGCATTTTCCAGACCACTGTCCGGCCTGAACCAACGACACACAAAGAAAAAAAACACAAATAAGTTAATAGTCAACTTGTCTGGTTAATAAGGATTCTGAGAATATTTTTACTCACACTTACTCCTCAATCATAGAGATGAACTTTGTCTCAAACGTTCCTGGAGTATGCAGGGCCTCAGACGCTTCCCCTTTAAACAGCAGCTTCTTCTCCGTCAGCTTCATCAGCACTAGCCGAACGATTTCCCCCAAATACATCCCACTGATCATCTTCTCAAACCTGCAGGACAACACATCATCAGGACAGTGACAAAAACAGATTACTGTAGTTTCCACACTATAAGGCGCACCTAAAAACCTTCAATATATAAGGCGCACCGGATTATAAGGCGCACTGTCTGCTTTTGAGGAAAAGCAGACAGTGCGCCTTATAATCCGGTGCACCTTATATATGGACCAATATTGAGCCACAACAAGTCTAGCAACTACAGTAAGCAGCCGCCGACTTCATTTTCGCCGGTAGAAGAAGAAAGCGCATGTTGCATGCTGGGATAGTTGTCAGAACGATGGTTTGTAATCCATTAATAAAGTTTGACTGACCTATCTACCTACCGACCGTCTAGAATCAGGTCGTCTGCAGGTCATTTAGCACCACAAACATGCTGAGCGCGAACAGAGAAGGGTGACCATCATCCGGCCATGCCCTGGCCCAGTCGCGAAAGGCTCTCCTCGCCAACCGGAGTCGGACTGTTTTGTTGACATTCCGTTTAGTGCAGCTTCATCTAGTGGATGCATAACATAACTCCAGCCTCTACTGTAGCGTCTATTCTATGCGCCTTATAATCCGGTGCACCTTATAGTACGGAAAATACGGTACCCAGTTTTTGTGATTTGCTGCCCTCTGATGTTTAAGGAATTTATACTGAAACTTTTATGTTTTACATCATTCTCGAACTATGGTATGAGTCGGGATGCCATTAGTGATGCTCAGAAGTATTACTGTATTTTTGGGATTAAAAGTCACTTCAGAGTATTGGTTGCTTCAGTCAAAAAATACATCATGAAGAGAAAAAAATATTTAAGACACGCCTGAATATAAATCAGAGGAGCAGTCAAGCTACTAAAAAGTACTAGTTATAGTCTGGAAAATGCAGTACTTTATTTTAAGGATTTATACAAACAGTTGTGATACTGGATGACTGAACCAGGAACAAGTAATAGTGTTCCATTTAACAAAGTTGAAATTTGTATGTGGAAATTATTTTGAATTCAACTTAATTGTCCTTCAGTTAAATTGAATTCAACTTAACTTCAGTTCCAAGCTGGATGCTTTGTTTTGATATTGGTAATTTTAGATTAGCTTTGCTACTTAAAACTTGACAATTCTGATTTCTGCGTAAGATAAATAACCAACAATGCCCATAAATCAGTGTGCTATACCAACAGAAAATAATGATAATTAGTTTTTTTTGTTTTTCATTTTAGAATTTGTTTTCATGATGTACAAGTTAGCTACTCTTATTTGCAAGAATTGTGTTACATGGAAAACTTGAAACTTATGCTCATGTTTAGGGGCTGCATTCTCCATAGGATCTGTCCAGGCCATTTGTTGACTGCAAAGTCCGGAAGTAAGTGGCTATGCAATTAGAGGGTCTATTTTCACAATACCATAAACTTTTAATTTTTTAACCACCAGATTTGAATGTACTTGTATTTAAAAGTATTTATCTCCTCCTCCTTTGTTTACGATCTCCTGCTTGGCCCATGCAAGGAATCTTCTGATAGTTTGATCAGTCTAGTTGTTGATAGGCAGGGGCGCGGTAAAGGGGTGAAAAGTGATGAGACGATTCTAGGAGCCCTGACCAACAGGGGGTACTCCACAATTTATTTATTTATATTTNTATATTATATGTAAATATTTGAACTACCAGATGAAGTTTTAACAGAATTTAATCTTTTTAATCATTATTTTTTTATTATTCTGTAAAAGAGCTTTTCGCATTAAGAAATTTAAACTGTGGAGGAAATAAAACTTTTTTTTTTCTTTTAAAATACCAGAGTTTAAAGTTTTATCTAAACTCAGTTCAAAGGGTCTTAAAATAAAACTAAATCTCAACTACAACATGAACACTGTTTTAGTACAACCCCTGTTTCACATTGTAATGTACAGAGTCTTTAGGTGAAACTAAAACATTTTTCCTTGTTGTCTGATTCTTTTTTTTTTTTTTGTTAATCTTTCATTTACTTGGAAAGTTTTACCTTAAAGCATCCCTGTCTGATTTTCCCTGCTGCATTTATACATTTTAAATATTACTTATGTCTTTGTCTTGAAGAAATACAAACTAATTTTCATCAAATTAAAACAAAATCTAGTTTTTCTTTGAAATCTGTCCATTTTATTTGCTTTCATAAATAAAATCTGTTTGGCTCTCTGCTGCCACCTTGTGTCAAATAAAGGTTATAACTACAGGGAACAGATGCAGGAATCACTTTAAAATCATCTTATTCTTTATTTTTTTCACCTTTCCTGTTGTTTTTGCTTCTTTTTTCCCAGTATCCCTTACCAGGAGAGGTCCAGAGAAGAAGAATGGCGTCGATGCCGTCACAGTGCTGTAAGTCCACAGACAGTCATTATTTTGTGCATGCAGGTAGAAACAAGTCTTTGTTCTTATTTATTTATTTATTTATTTTTTTAGAAGTTAACTGATGAATTCAAACATAAATGAGTATCTGTCTTTATCTTAAAACAAATTTGATTAATGACCGATGTGTTGGTTCTAATTTGGCAGGATAATTGTATAAAAAAAATTTAGAGTAATTTAATTTCGCTCTTTCTTGACAGAAAAGCAGATAGCTCATCACTTTGACACATATTTCATCCAGTCAAACACATTTGGTTTACTTCCATGCACAACAGAGTTAATTTTTCAGTAACACAGTTTACTTTTCTTCTTTGGAAACTCTCCTTCATCCCACCAGGCAGTTGGAGTTATTTTGGATGGAGTGATCAGCAAAGTATGTAAAGAGGTTGTTTGGTGTTTTTTACCACCTGTGATCCATTTTTCTCTCCATATTTGCATGTTGCAGAATGGTTTGCTGTCTCGCTACAAAAAAATCTTGTGTGGAGTCTCATTGTTTTGTCAGTCACACAGCGTTCATTTTGTTGTGTTGTTTGCCTGCTACCACAAGAGGGAGCCATTTGTTCAAATATTTTGTTGCCTGAATGTTTTCTTTCCATCCTTAAAACGCATTACATCTCATAGTGAGGTTATAAACTGAAAAAATGGAGGTGGAAATGCTTCTTTAAAGTATTTGCGTTGTTTCCACTCCAGCGTATGATGACCACGACAGCGCCGTGGACGACCGAGACAGCGACTACCCCAGTGAAACTGGGAACCGGCCACCGCGGTTCCACAACACTTCCCAGACGAATTCATCCGTCCATCAGTACCCCATAGGCCGTAGAGTCCAGCATCAGAGCCTGTCGAGGGAGTCTGACTCTGTTCACAGTTACGATCTAGACAATAGAGAAACGAGGGCAAACAGGTAAACACAGACATGTTTTTCTGCCTATGCAGCATCACATACTGGCAAAAATGTAATTCACTTGTGTATATCTGCATATATATCTGGGTTAAAAGTTTTGGCAGTAACACAAGTGTGGAGATTATTTTGTGTTTTCACAAATCCCCAATCTACCGTAGAGGAGTGTCAAAAGTGAGATTTTTTTTAATGAATTTTGTTTGCAAATTAATACTTTTTGACCAAAGTGAAAGGAAGTCTTCAGATGAGAAGCAACCCCAGACATGGATTATATTGGGAGGTTTTCCTCTAATTCAATTGATTTAGAAAATAGTTGCACACCGATAAATCAGCTGATCTTCCAAAATTTTTCCTAATTTTGTGAGATCAATAATCGGCCAATACTTAAATGTGAAACCAATCTTTTGGACTTATCCCCCTCTGCGAAGGTCTGAAAATCTGCTATTAGGTTGCACAGTTGGACATTTAAATAATAAATTCACTTAATAGAAACGCACCAATTTTGAAAAAACATTTTTGATGAAAATCTTTGGCTCTGGAATGATGTGTTTTTCTTTTGGCTGTGTTGACATTGGTTAATGGAAACACTTTTTTGTTAATAGTTGATTGATAATGTTTTGTAGACATATAGCAAGCATGACTAAAGCATGATTTAAAGCATGATAAAAGCCAGTTTTTTTGTTTGTTTTTCAAAATGATTGGACATGCAGGTAATTACATAATAATTTCAGAGCAATGTGAGAAAATGAAGCCAGAAAGTTCTCAGACATTTGTGTCACTGTAAAACTTTTTGTATGGCTTTAGTTATTTAATATTACCCTAACATTTTGTTGACACTTTCAGTAAATCAGTAGTTTTTCTAAATATTTTTAAGAAACCTTTCTAAGAAAGCTTTCTTTTGTATAACAACTGCAGATGTTGTTTTTAGGCTAAAGCGATGAACCTGTCATGCATTTTGTTGTCGTTTTAAACATTTACCTGTCTTCTTTTATTCATCTGTATGTACATTGACTCTGACTTTCTTTGATCTTTTCTTTTAGATCATGTTTAATGCTTCTCTCTGTTGTTCCTCTATGATTTCCTTCCTTTATTTTTCTTTCTTTGCATCACATTCCACCTCTTCCTGCATGATATACTTTTATTTATCCAATCTAGACGATCAAACAGCAAAAGAGGCGTTAGAATAATTCCTGTAGACTCAGGTATGGGTGTGGAGGACTGGGAGAGTAAATATAATCTGCCTAACTCGGGTGTACTGGATGATTATTTAGACACTGAGCAGAAACTTTGGGAGGATGAAGATAAAAGTATCATCTACCGGATCAGTGACAGCTGTGAGTCTAAAGGCAGCAGATTTTATCAGACGGTAGAGTGTGATGGTCTATCCCCAGAGGACATGCTGGAGCCAAATGACGGGGCACCCAGACAGAGGCATGGCTTTGGCAGTGGGGAAGTACGATTAGTTTACAAGGCAGCCGGCAGCTTTGAGGATGAATCATCTCCTCCTGAAATTGACATAATCCCGTCAGTCAAACAGCTGAGACAACCGACAGACAGAGAGAGTCTCCTTTACAAGACCAGATTGTGGGCCAAAACCGCTTTAGAAGACACTCTGGAGAACTATGCTGCTTTTCGTGAGCAGGAGACTGCGAGGGAAGAAGCTTCTAGGGTCAGAAGACGTGTTGACTATAACTCGCTTGGCTCTGATGAGATGCAGTACTCATTTGGATCTGAGGAAGAACTGGAAGATCTGACATTCACTGAGGGAGATGCTAATTTTGAATATGAAAGCTATGGCTACTCTGGCAAGTATATGGAACATTTTGAAGGACAAGATTTTTCAAGAAAAAGCAGAACAACTGATCAACAAGATCCAATGCTATCTCCTGTGGAGGACCCAGATGATGAATACATAGATCCAATGGGTGAACTGCGGAGCTTAGTCCACTCAGTGTCTGAATACCTGGCAGTGAAAGAGGAGGAGGTGAACAGCTATGAATCAATGCCCAAGCCACCAAGAAGAAAACTACCTGCTCTACCAACTGATGCAAAAATGTTACCACCTGAAGACAATGACAGTAATATGACCAAACCTGATGTTAAAGAGGAAAGTCCTGTTGAACAAGGCATAACTGGGGTGAAAAATGCAATGAGCTCATTGTTCAGCACAATCACAGGAGCAAAGTCTCCAACTGAGGCAGAAGCCTCTAGTACTTCATCTCCCCAGCCACCACAAACTGATTCTGGTATTTCAAAATTGTTATCATTTATCCCTAAATCTAATACCGAAACCCCTGAAACTCAATGTGCATCTGCAACAGAACCACCTACCTCCCAAACACCACCCCAAACTGAATCAGGAATTTCCAAGCTGCTTGCATTTATTCCCAAAAGTGGTGGTACATCTCCACCAGTGGCCATAGTTCCGCCTGCCTCTCAGGAGCCCTCAACAGAGAAAAAGTTCTCTCTACAGTCACTTTTGCCTTTTCAATCCTCTGAGACCAGTAGACAAGTGGAGGCCAACCAGACGCCTACCCAAGCTCCCACAGAGGCACAAAGTAGTTCAACAGCTGGTAACCAGTCTGCATCTGGGTTTGAATCCATGTTAGGAAGGCTAAGTCCTTTGAGGCTTTTTTCCAGCTCACCATCTCCCAGAGAGACATCACCACAACCACCGGAGCAAAGAAGTCCATCTGCTGCAAGCAAAGAATCCCAACAAGGGCAAGTAAGTAGAGGCACCAGTCCTAGTAGAGAAGGCTCACAAACAGAGCAGCAGTCATCAGGAGAGATAAGACCAGGTTCTGCAAGTGGATCAGTTGATCTTTTGCCAGATACAGGAAGCGGATCAATTGAGCTTTCCCAAGAAACGGCAACTGGGTCAGTAGAACTTCTTCCAGAGACTGAGTCCTCTGGTGAGCTACCTGACATTCAGCAAAGAGGAACATCTTCAGTGTCTGAAGCAAAACCTGAGGGAAGTTCAGAAGAAACTGGATTCTTCAGTCCTTTTAAGAAATCTCTCTCCACCCTCATGTCTGCGGTTCCTCCAGAAAACCCCTCGCATAGTGATACCAAGCCTGCCGAGGAGTCATTTCTAGGCAGCAAACTGAAAATTCCATTTTTGTCAGAAAATGTTTCCACAACAACAGCACCTAAAGCAGAAGGAGGTATGTTGTCAGGGATTCTTAAATTTGGAATAGGGGAAGATTCTAATGTCACTTCAAATACTTCAACGCCTGCTCCATCAAGGTCTCCCTCTCCAAGTCGTTCTTCACTTCTTGAAAGTGCTCCCAAACAAAACACAGGAACCGGCTGGTTTTCTAACCTTTTTAAGGTGACTCCACCTGAACCTGCCAAAGAACCAGAAAAAAACCAAGTGACTCCTACTGTGACACTTACCAAACCTAGTGAACAAACTGAACCTCATTCTGAGCAAATATTTCCCGACACACCAAAAGATACTGCTTCCAGTGCAGAGCAGTCCTCTGAGGGGCAAACTTTGCAGGAAATAAATGCTATTTCCCAAGACCAAGAACCTCCCAAGGTCAATGCAGGCACATCACAACCAGAGACCTCACAGCCTCAAGGATTTCTTTCTGGGTTGTTAAAAATAGGACCAACAGAATCTGTGTCATCCGATAAGAAAACCCAGGAAGGAGAAGGACAGTCTCAACCGAGTGGTTTGTTTTCTGGTATATTTTCATCACCTTCCCAGCCTTCCTCTCAACCACAGCCGCAACAATCAGGAGTGTTTTCTGGATTCCTAAAGTTGGCCTCTGATACTGTTTCGGGTTCTGCAAATCAGTCAACAACCCCAGGAGGTCAGTCTGGCCAGCCTCCATCTCAAGGTCAAGGGCTCTTTTCTGGACTGTTGAAAAAAGCTACAGATACAGTAACTGGGACCCAGCCAGTCCAGTCAAGTCAAGATTCCCAGCCAAGTGACGCTAAGCAAACAATGGTTAAGGATGGGCCAGAAAAACACTTGCCTCAAGGATCAGATTCACATGCTGAGTCGACTGGACTTTTGTCAAGATTTAAATTAGGATCCACAGATAGTCTTCCTCCTGATAAAGATCAAACAGACCAACAAAGGCGACTAATAGCCTCAGATGAGCATTTAAAGCAACCACAACAAAGTAGCACGATTACAGAACATGCAGCTTCAAAACCAACAACAGCACCTCAATCAGGTGGATTACTTGGGGGCTTACTAAAACTCTCAGAATCTACACCCCAGCAACCATCTTCTGGTCAAGGGGGTTTGCTGTCTGGGCTGTTTGGAATTGGTGTACAAGAATCTGCTCCTGTAAACCCACCTCAACCTTCACAAAACCAACCACAGACTGTAAAACCTGAGAACCAACCAAATCAGCAACTAGGCAGTAGACAAAACCTTCAACATAACCAAGTGCCTCCACAGCAGCAGCCGAGTGGTCCTGGAGGGATGCTTAGTGGATTATTTAATAAAATTGCAGATGTGGGTGTGCCACAGCAAACAGTGGGAAGTCAACCAACTCAGCAACAAGCACAAAGACCAGCCCCCAAGACAATTCAACAACCATCTAATCAACAGGGGGGATTTCTTTCTGGACTGTTCTCCTCGGGGTCTAATACTCCAGCTCAGCAGCAGTCCCCTGTTAATCAACAACATCAGCAGCAACCCCAACAAGGCAACAGACAACCTCTGCGTAGACAAAACCAGATACCCCCACAACCCCCTGCTTCTGCTCCAGAGCCACAACAGGGTGGGTTATTGTCAGGACTGTTTAACAAATTAGCTTCCAGCGATAATGTATCACAACAGCCCAGCCAACAAGCTAGTACTCAGCAGGGCAGTAAGCCTGGGCAGCCTTCCAATGAACCATCGTCTCAAACCAGTCAGCAGGGTGGATTTTTATCTGGTCTGTTTGGACCATCACCACCTCAGCAGGTACAACAACAACCTAGTAAAATAGCAAGTCCTCTACAAACAACAACACAGCAAGCTAATCAAGGTGGAAGCCTGCTTTCAGGTTTTCTCAAACTTGCATCTGGTGACAATGTACAAGAACAACCATCAGCAAAACCTCCTCAGGCTAGAGAAGCAGCAGTTAAGGCAGGACAAAATCCACCCCAGCCTGAATCTGGGGGGTTATTCTCTGGTCTATTAACCAAAATTTCAGCCACTGTAGAACAGTCATCCTCATCTTCTGACCAGGTAGCGCCTCAGTTAACTCAGTCAACTCAGCAACAGCAGCAACAACAGCCACGTTCAAGTCAGAGTAGACCACAGATTCAGAGAACGAAACCAGTGGAAGTTCAGTCCTTCCAGGACGCATCCTCTGATAAGGAGACAAAAGCTCCAGCTCAAAAAGGATTTCTCTCCAGTCTGTTTAATGTCACGGAAGAGCCATCATCAAAGATGCAGGAGTCCTCTTCACCTGGGACAGAAGACCCAAAAAACAGCTCTACTGGGACATCTACTGGCTTGTTATCTAGCATTTTCAAAACAAATTCTAGTGACATCAGCACTTCTGCTCCTGGAAAGGAAAAGGAAAAAGCTTCCCTTGAAACATTACCACAGAATAAGGAGAAAATTTCCTCAAGTATAGAAACACTCCCAGCTCCTGCTAATTCAGTTACTCGTGGTGTTGATACCCAGGAACAGCTTCCACAGTCACAGGTTAGGCAAGATGATACAATTTCCCCAGCACAGCGTTATCTTGAAGAAATCCAGCATCTCCTGTATGGGACATCAGATGAATATGGTTACAAGGATCTGTTATACAACTTTACAGAACATGGAGTGATTCCTCCAGAGTTATATGAACATCAGTGTCTCATAGAAGCTCTGCTGTGGCAGCAACTCAATGATTATGTCCAAGCTGAAGCTCTGGCCACCAATGTTCAAATTCACAACCAAACATGCCACGACTATATTCCTCCTACAGCTAAAGCTCCTCAACTAGACAACCGCGTTACTTTAAATCCTAAAGAAATGAACATCAGTGACTTCAACATACCTGCTCATCCTTGGAGGGATACTTCCACCCAGCTTTTTGAGAGCCGAAACCGCTTTTTTGAAACATATGAAGATCTGGTGTTGTTTGACATGAGCTGCCGGAACAAGAAAGCTTGGAGCAGCTGTGACCACTTGAATGATCTTGATAGCAATAGTAAACCATGGATTGCAAGAGGTAGTGCAATAAATCTGTCAACTGAAAAATCAAAGAGACGTCTAAATAGGTGTCAGTCGCTCACGCAATGCAGTGTTCAAGAGTCTGGCAAAGTGGAGGACAAATGTGTTGTAGATAATTTCTTGAAAAATGACAACTTTGATTTAAAATCAGCAACTGACTTTTTAAAGCGACTTTCAACAAAAAAAGGACCCGTCGACTTAAGACGCAGTGCTCTTAATTTAAGCAAGTCAGCAGGCACTGGAGGCGATACAGAAGATTATATGCTGTTTGAGGACTCTGAGTGGTACCAACAGTGGATGTCACTATTAGAACATGGGCTGTGGTGGCCAGCTGAGGCAGGAGACTGTGGATATTATGTTTATACAGATGAAAACTACATCTATTCTCTTTTAACTGATAAAGCTGGAAGGCATCTCTACGCCTGTGCTACAGACGAGGATATGCAAACTTTGGGAAATATTACTGAAAACATAGCTAACATTCTGAAGCAAAAAGAAACTGATAAAGTGACCCTTTGTGGTTTCAAAATCCCCCTGAATGATGAAAGTAGAGGTTTCTGCATTTCAGACAATCAGCAGAATGCCTTATTATTGAACGATGCACCAATGGATCTGACTGCTGCTCTTAGAAAAGGTGAAAAAATAATGAACTTGAATATGCAGAGTTTCTCTCAAATGTTTCAAGAGTCTGTAACATCGCAAGCAGAGCAACCTATTGACTTTAGTGTGTATAAGCTTAAAAAGATAAAAGTGGAGTCTGTCCAAAATGGTTACTCTTGTCAAGAGGAACTAATGGAAGCTGCTGACTTTAGCTTGAAGTCTCTAAAAGGGGGGCACGGAGGGCCCTACTGGAAGGATCAAAGACTTAAAGATATACTCACACCAAGCCATTCTCCTCAACATTACTTGCCACAAATCTCTCAAAACAGACAATGTCCTATTCCAGAAATCAGGATCGCACATGTAGATGATACAAATGCAGACCAATCAAAACAAAAAGTAAGTTCTACATTTTCAGGATTCAGAGCAAACTCTACTAACACGAACACAAGTAAGACTCAGACAGTTTCAGCAACATCTACCATTTCAGCATCTGTTTCCAGTCAACGTTCAGAAACTTCCCCATCAACTTCAAAAATACAGTTGGGAAGGAAGCTGCCTAATGCTCCAATTGACGGTAAGACAACCAGTCCTTCAACTCCATCAGGACAAGTAGCTGCTGCTTCTTCTGTAGCAAAAGCATCTTCCCCAATGGTGCCTTCTATTTCTTCCAAGAGACCACACCTTACAAGACAACCATCTCAAGCAGATAAAACAGTATCATCTCAGTTTAATAAAGGCACTGTCACTGGGATATGCAAAGAGAAAAGTACCTCACCAATGACCCAAACTGTCTCTGAGACTCCTAAAGAGCCACAAGATATCCCTAAGGTATTTAAACCAAAGCTGCATATATTGAATGAGACTTCAAGTGTTTATAGTGAAGCCTACCTATACAACAGAAACCAGAAGTGCTTTACCTCCCCTGGTGACTCTCAAATGTGCCATAAAGTTTTAGATTTTTCACCCGCAATAAACAAAAACATTACCAAACAAAAAGATGGAACTGATGATGGTGTTGAACCTGCACCTAGGAATGAGGCTGTCGACTTTACGAAGTACAAGTTAAAAAAATTCAAAGAAAAAAAGCAAGTTGATTTTGAGGCAAATGTGGACATGCCAGATAAAACCACAACTGCTGTAGATCTAACTAAGCAAGTAGAAGAAGAGGAAATTGAATGGCCAAATTCAAAAAGTACTAGTGTAAGCCCATTACAGGATGGTCTGACCATATCACAGACCAGCCACAGGGATACAGTTGGCCAACAAAATCAATCAGCAAGACATCTGTCCAGGCTAGGAGTCCATGGCCAAGTCCATGCAAAGGAAATACAAGCCTTTGCTAGTACAACCAAAGAAGCAAAGTCTAGTCAAAAAGATTCTGAGTTTTCTAAGAAAGATAAAGACAACTCCTCCAAGCTGACTTGTGCATCTCCTGTATCGTCGAAGATTCCTGGCACCAATTTTACATCAGAAAAATCAATTTCTACAGTGTCTTATACTTCCAGTAAAGAGTCCAATCTTGGCGAAACTGTCCAAAAAACATCAAGAACTGAGTCAAAACAACCAGCACGAACCTCACTGCTTTTGAGCCCTGCAATGAGAAAACAAGTGGACAGTCAGGAACAACAGCTGCCAAAACAACAGAGTTCAATTGGAGTTGCAACAGATTCTACTCAGGTTTACCCTGACAAGAGTCCAGTTTCTGCACTTGTTTCTCATCAGTCTTTTGAAAAGACTCAGCAATATGAGAAGACAACTGCACCTGCAAATTCAATTAAAGCCACGTTAGATATGTCTGTCAAGTCAAACACACAGCTGACACAGAAAACTGTTGTGCCAACAAAGGATCCTGCTGGCGAGGCATTGTCATTGACCAATAGAAAACCATTTGCTTGTGATGAGAGAGACCAAAGTTTAAGTCGCCAAGAATCCATTGACCTGACATGTAAATCAGTGTCATCATTGAATAAACCTGAGATGAAAGACTTTAGTCATACACCAACTCTCCAGGAACTCCCAAGCTCACTAAAAACCACACAAGACATGACTTCTATGTCTTTAACTTCAAAAGCAGTGGTTCTGAATGAAGATATCACAACTAGAAAACCTCTTACTGACTATACCTGTCTATCTCCAAATGCACAACCACTTCCATGTCAGTTAAACCCAGAATCACTTCAGCCACACTCTTGGCAGAGCAAAGATGACACATTAATGCAATCAATTCACTCACCTTCTCAGTTACTGGGAACAAAACATGTTGCTTTTCCTCCGTCAAATGCCACTAATGTGTTAGATATGTCACCAAAGCCGTCTCAAGTCATGTTGGGAAAAACAGTGCCTGGAGATGAGTTTATCACAGACGAAGCAGTTTCACTTGTTAAAAAGTCAAGTGCAAGAGCAGTTGCCAGGAGAGATTCTGTTGGTGTTGCACTGATAGTTGATCAAACCCAGATGGAATCAACAAGCGAAATGCAGTCTCAAAATATGATCTCTGGGCAAAAAAGCCAAATCACAAACAGAAATGGGGTCTGTATTTTACAGCAGTCCATTCCTGGCTACACAGTTATGCAACACTCAACTGCATCCCAGACTATTGTTAAATCAAATTCAAACAGTACAGCTCCAGCAAATTCAGTTAAAGGCACATTAGACATGTCAACAAAGGCCTCTGTACCTGACACAAGTATGCCTTCACATCCAGTTTCACTGGTTCGCTCAAGACGATCAAGCTTAATATATTCTCAAAAAGATTCTGTTGGTGTCCCCTTAATAGTGGAGGTACACATTCCCCAAGAGCACCCTAAAAGGAATCAGACAGCATTGGTAGAACCCCAGAAGCCTTTACAAAGACTTGTGCATAGTGAATCTCGAGAAACTACTGCACCTGCTAACTCCATCAGAAGCTCTTTGGACATGTCCCCAAAATCCCCACAGAAGGAGTCTGAAAGAGCTCCTATTGTACTACCATGTGAAGTTGTGCCACTAGTCAGAAATAGGACACATGTATTAAGGAATCCTTGTGGTGGTGTACCACTCATTGTGGAGCAACCTGTATGTCAACAAAGAAGACATGTTATGACAGAAGTTTTTACAACAGAGACCCTACACAGAAAAGTATCTACCTCTCATTGTAATGAAGCATTTTCTCCTTCTAGGACCCCATATAAGGACCCACGGCAACACAATAAGCCTGTAGATTTCTCAGCTAGAGACAACCTTGTTACGTATAACCTTTCAAACAATCAAATTGAACCTAAAGATGGAGAGCCAATGAACTTCACTGTTGCAAAAGCAAAGAAAGAAACTACCAAAAAATGGCAAAGTGAAAGGGACCCAGAAAAGAAAACGTTTGTGGGTACTGTGGATCTAAGTTTGAATGTTAAAAACAAATCAATAATTGACCTTCAAGGTGCAACGGATTTTACTTCTTCGGTTTGTGTCCCATCTCAACACAGAATAAATTCTCAGCAACAATATATACCTGCAAACACTATTGATTTCAGAAGTGACATTACATTTTCTCAAACTCGAAAGTTATCGGAACATTCAAATGATGCATGCATAACCACACATGCTGGAACACATCATGAAATCCATGGAGGAACAGGAAGGAATTTGGAATCTGCATTTGCACCTCTGGTTGCAACTGAAAGGATAATACAGCCTCCTCAGCTTTTTACTCCCCAGTCTACACAAGACATTGGATTTACTCAGTTGTCACTTAATAGTGCATATCAACAAGTCAATAGTGTACCTGAACAAATATCTTTTGTAAAATATCAACTGCCAACTCAATATTTAGTTTCTCAACACCAATGTCCACACCCCAGAGCAGAATTTGCAATTCCTCTGCCAAAGACACAAACGTTGCAAAAACAAGACACGACTACACAGCAGGATGTGAACCATAGACCCAAAATTCTTATTAAGCAGGCAACTGTGGATAGTTATGGGAGTACAGAAGAGTTTGAAGAAAATGGAGCAGTGACACACAGTAGGCACTCCTCTGTTTCTTGCACTACACAACAAGGTGCAGGTGGATCCCAAACAGCTGCTATCCCTTTGTCTGTAGACGCACAGCGTGGTGCTGAACATTTTATGGCACCTGCAGTTGCACAGCCTGTACAAAGAGACACCAATTCAGCTGCAAATGATTCAAAAGTACCTCTTCATCTCTCAAAGCCACCAAGCATAAGCCAACACCACACCACTGCACAAAATAATTACACACCAGCCTTACCCTCTAATAATATGGATCCAATACAGTGCGTTTCACAAACTAGTGTATCTGTTTCACAAACTGCCAGAAGTCATCACACAATGCCAGGGTTATATGTTACAGGAAGTTATCAAAATCAGGGCTTTGCATCTCAATCACAAGAGTCACAAGTGGCTTCAACACAAGCAGGATCTTCTTCTGTGAAGGGTTTGATTTCACTTTTTAGTAATTTGGACTCACAATCTTCTGTTGGTACAAAATCACCTGCTATCTCCAGCTATGCCAAGACTGAATCAAAACCTGTAGACCACGTTCTTTCAATACAAAAGCAAGATAATCTTGTCCCAGTTACTCATAACACCAGAAACATAGAGGGAATCTCCTCAAATTCACAATTTTCTACTGTAGCAGATTCTGTGCCACTCACAACAACTCTTGGTCAGGATTATGTTGAATCAGGATCAGTGACTCCTGAAGATAAACTAGCTTGTTCATCTGAGGCATCCAAAGATCAGTCTGCAAATGTGGAGAAAGTGTTGTCTCCAGAACTACCTCTAAGCACTGAATCACAACAAATAGGTTTAATATCAAGTGATTTAAGTCACAGAATGTCTGCTGGGACACTGGAGGGTGCATCATCACAGAGTATTAAGTCCACATCTCCTTCTCAAAAGTGTCAAGAACTACAGGAAATAAATTCTTGCACAGGAAAAGAAACATTTGATGACTTACCTCCTTCTGAACCATTCCCAGTTAAACCAATAGGTAATAAACTACATGAAGGACTTCAAAGCTCTGACGAATCTCCACTATTTCCACTAGCATTGCAAGAGACTAAATCAAAATCAAATGGTAAAGAAGCATTGGCCGCAATAAGTGAAATAGCATCTCAATCGGACCTATCACAACAGCAAGGTTTAGAAGAGCTTAAACAAGCTATATCTACACAGTCTGCCAATGTTAGGGGTGAATTCGAAGAAATTTCTTCACAAGAAAAAAGCAGACCTCCAAGGTCAATCTATATTGGCATAAGTTCTTCAGACACACTTCCTTTTGGGGTAGAAATGGAATCGGGGGATCAAAAGCCTTATGTTAGACTGCCCCACATTTTCATATCAGCTGCCAGTTCACCAGAAGAAGAGCATAATGAGACCAACCGTGGTACCCCTGAAAGTAATGGACCTAATTTTCCAGAAGCTAGTGTCTTTGATGATACTACATCAAGTGCAGGAACAGCACTAGAGCAAAGGGAAGTTGATGTTGATGTTTTAGTAAAGTCTGATGCATCTAAAGATACCAGTACTTTAGAAGACAGTACCATACAGGGATCTGTTGAACCATTGAGCAGTGAGGCTAAGACTGGCTTTCCAGATATACCAATTTCACTGAATACATCAAATCAGATAATTATAAATGAACAAGACTCTGAGCACATTATGACAGATAAAACCTCAATAGGCACTACCCTTTCAGAGATTGAAAATAAATCGGAGACTACTGAGGTTCCTCAGGACAAACTTCAATCGATTTCTGAAAACACAGAGTTAACATCAGACACATCACCAGGTGAAGTTGTAAAACTTCTCACTGACCTGGCCTGTCAGGTTGTTGAAGAGTCACCAGAATGTGTTCAACCATCTCAAGAGTCAGTTACTATGAATGAAAACAAATCTCCCAGTACAGAACTGCCAGGAGAAGTTGACTGCTTGAGCATCAAGTCTCTGAAAGTAGAAACCTTAGTTTCAGATGTTAAATCACCTGAAGATGTCCAACATCTTCATGAGAAAAGTGAAGAAGATGTCACTTTATCTGTGCCTGAGCCACCTCCTATTAGTGCTCCTAAGGTTTCAGATTTAACATCTGAAACCTTAGTTTCAGATGTTAAATCACCTGAAGATGTCCAACATCTTCATGAGAAAAGTGAAGATGTCACTTTATCTGTGCCTGAGCCACCTCCTATTAGTGCTCCTACTGAGGAACTTATTATCTCTAAGGAAGACAGTGCAGCTGTTAAGGGTGATCTGCCCAATGCTGAACAAACTGATGAACAAGCAGGAAAAGGCATATTTTCACTGTTCAGTGCTTCTTCAGCATCCCCGCAACAAACTCCCTCCCAGACTGGATTATCAATACTTGGGGGCATTATTCCTGGCTCATCTACTAAAGATGCTCCTGGGACAGGGTTACTCTCCATGTTTGGTGGGTCAAGTGCACCATCTTCATCTGAATCCAAAGATATACCACCACAGTCAGCACCACAAGAACCCCAGGGAAAAAGTCTGTTCTCTATGTTTGGTGGTTCTATTAGTCAACCACCACCTGGCCCAAGGGGTCCAACTGCTGGAGGTGTGAGGCCCAGGGGGCCACCACCCAAAGAACCTCCAGGAAAAGGTCTCTTTTCCATGTTTGGTGGAGCTGTGCCTCAACAAGCACCAAGTCCCAGGGCTCATCCAGGGGCTGGCCCTCCACCCAGAGGACCAGGATCTTCTCTGTTTGGTGGCATCCTACCAGGTTCAGCAACACAAAAAGACACCCCTAGTACAGGGTTGTTCTCCAAGTTTGGTGGTCTTGGGGGTCAGTCCCAAACAGGGCCTAAGGTAGGCACACCTGGACAAACAGCTACACCACCAAAACCCAGTGGCCCAGAGATCTCAGGGAAGGGGCTGTTTGCCATGTTCGGTGGACAGAGTCAACAGCCACCAGAAGCACAACCAACAGCTTCTAAAACAACTGAATCAGACAGTGCTTTTAAAGTGTCATCTGTGTTTTCACTTGGTTCGAATACTGACAGCAACAAATCTAAAACTGGGTTTGGTCTATTTGGTATGTCCTTTTTGGAGGAAAGCAAAACTGAGCCAGAAAAAAGTGTTCCTGTCAAAGAGGAGGTTGTAGTTGAGCCATTAAAGTCTTTAGATGCAGAAGCACCTTCAGAAGAAGCAGAGAATAACCATGATAAAACTGTAAAACATGAACCCACTGAACCTGTTTCTATAATTTCAGTTCAGAAAAAAATTAATGTAGAGGAGACATGTCAAGATGTCCAAGATGCCGTCAACAATGTCTCTAAAAATGTTAATGAAGCTTCTGTTCCTCAAAGAGATTCACAAGATGTGGACAAAGAAGCCACAGTACAGTTAAACCTTTCTCAAAATGCCTCAGAGACAGTTGAAACTTCTGTTGGAGAGTCATTGAACATTACAAGTAATCTTTCTGAGAAAGAGACATTTGTGGATTCACAAGATGTAAAACAAGTCAGTGAATCACAATCAGACATCCCATGTGGACCTAAAGAAAGAGAAGGTGCAGTAAATGTTGAGGAAATGGTTGCACAACCAGAAACTGCTGCATTAGAAATGATTACTCAAAATGAATCTGAAATAGTTGGGATCAGTCAGTTATCAGAAAAACATGACTCCCCTCAAATACCAGAAAATATAACAGATTCTTTGGATAAACTAGAAACCTCTATTACTGCCGTAGAAGAAGTTCAAGATACAAAGACTAAAGATGTGGACATTCCTTCAGAGAAGGGAAATGAAGAGGATTTAAATTTTGCTGTGGAGACTTCAGTTGAAGATGTGGGAAAATCACATGAGGATGCTATAAAGCTGTCTGAAGACAGATCAGTTACAGTTGATGAAAAATCATCTGAGGAGCCTTTGAAGGCTGAGGATGAAGAACAGATTTCAGCAGCAGATGTGAAACAAACTGAAGAGACCTTGAGAAATGCTGTTGAGATACATCCACCGGCTGTTGATGTTCAGAAATTACCTGATGAGGATTTGTTAGTTGGTGAACAAAAAACAATCATATCTGATGTTGAAAAATCATGTGATGGGACTTTGGTAGTTGCTGATGAGCAACAAACAGTTGTATCTAACGTTGACAAAGTAAAGGTTCCTGGGGAGGAGCAAGCCACTGTCACAGGTCTAGAAAACCTAAATAAAGAGGCAACTGACATTGATTCTGTCAAAGAAATTACAGAAAAACCCACTGGAGAAATGGGTGAAAAAGACTTGAAAGCATCATCTGTTGAAATTCCAAAAGAACTGGCTGAACAAAAACCAGAAGATAATGTAGATCCTGTGCATAAAGTAGACACAATTTGTGAAAGTGATATAATTTCTGCGGCAGTTTCATCATCAAGTGAAGAAAAAACTTTTGAAAACAGTTCAGTAGCATCTGCTGATCGTTCAACACAGCAACAGCAGAGACCAGAAATGGTCAGACCATCTGGCCCACCTGGACAAAGAATGGGAGCACCAAGAATGGGAGGACCACAAATGGGAGCCCCAAGGATGGCTGGACCAAGAATGGCAGGACCGAGAATGACTGGACCTAGAATGACAGGACCGAGAATGGCTGGACCTAGAATGGCAGGACCGAGAATGGCTGGTCCAAGACAATCAGGACCGCAGAGACCCCCTGAACCATCTTCCTTTTCTGGCTTCATGTCTATGTTCTCCACCCCAAGTGCACCAAATAAATCACCAACTGTTGGTGGATTTTTTTCAAGTTCTCCAGGATCCCTTTTTGGATCGTCCCCTACTCCTCGTCAGCCTCAGCAACAGCAGCAACAACAACAACAGAAAAGCTCATTTTTTGGCCTTCCAAGTAGCATTGCGCCAGAATCCATCACCAGTGACCTCTTTGGCATGTTCAAGGGTCAAGAAACAACAAAACCAGAGGAACCTGAACAAACTGGCACAAAATCTGAACAAGCAGAAGCTCCTGCAAATTTGGCAAACCCTCAGGACTCTGAAAAGGCAAATGCAGATAATATGACCTTAACTGAAGATGAACAAGTTAAAACCACAGAAGATTCTGACCTACCTGAAAAAGGGCTTGTTAAGGAGGCAGAAAGAAAAGACAAAACGGAAGATGATTCTCTCATTGAATCAACAGTAAAAACTAAAGACCCTGAACAAAAGGCAGAGTGTCTGGAGGCTGTTGAGCATTCAGAAGAGCCTGTTACTGAAGAGTCTTCCAAAAGTATACCATCTGCAGCCCCTGAAACCAAAGGCATGTTTGATATGCCCATTCTGTCTACCCCTAAATTTGGCTTCATGTCTGCAGCTACTGAAGGCACAACATCTATCGGATCCCTTTTCTCCACTACATCTTCAGTCACTAAACCCTCAGAGCCTCAACAGACAGATGGTGGTCTCTTTTCAGGCTTTAAAAATCTTTCAGCTGGTATTTTCCAGGACGAAAAGCCAGCAGGAAAAGAGGAAACACCAAGTGCGTCATCCGTTTTTGGCTTGAAACTGAGCTCAGTGTTTGGCACCTCCGACTCTCCCAAACCTGAATCCACCCCACCTGTGGTCACAGCCCAGCCTCAGAGTGAATCTCCTAAACCGGCAGAAGAACTTGATGAGCTGGAATTTGACAAACCATCCCCAGGTTCTGGGGAAACTGAAAGTGCAGACAATAGTGATATGGAAGGACCAACAGAGACATCTAAAACAGGAAGCTGTGACACCTTAGCACAAATGGCACAATCTGGCATCCCGTCTCTGTCAGGTTCTCTGTCAGAAAGCTTAGATAAGCCTCAGGTAACATTTACACCATGTGAGTTAGATAAGAGCGAAGAAAATACACTCGACACCAGGCAAGCAGAGTTGGAAACAGAACAACCAAAAGATCTGTTGATGAAGGAAGCAGCGAAAAGGCTAGTATCTGTATGATAAATGACATTATTCATTTATCATATCTCTGTAGAAACATATGCAACCCATATCCTTCCCTATTTCCCATTATTTCCTGTTGAGCAGTCATAACATTGTGACCATTGAAACCATGTACATTATTTTTTATAAAGGATGTTTGTTTTCTGTTGACTTGCACCAAAATGATTAATTACTTTAAAACACTCTAACATATCTTTTGCTTGTGCCTTATCTAATAAGACCTCTTTTGTTGGCAGAAGAGTGGGATATTCACTAAGTAGACAGATGGTCACATTGTTATGGCTAATATGTGTTGTATTTTGTACTTCTGCCCATTTGTCCATTTTCCATCTGGTAGTTTTACTTTAGTTCTTAGTAAATAGTTAAATTTACTTTGATGAAAATATTTATAGTTTGGATCTCATAAATAATCTACAACCTTGTATCCAAAGCCGTTAACACCCTTTCATTCTGAGTTTTATTGCCAAAGCTTTAGCGAATCATCACATGTGAAAAGGTGTTTCCTTTCAAGTGTAAAAATATAGTGCAGGCACATTACGCCGTCTTACTTATGGGCTTCCTGACTGTGATGGAGGTTCAATGAATGCAGAAAGTGATGGTTTTATTTATTAGCGCTCTACTGCTGAGGCGGTTACAAAGTCCCTCCTTCCTTTGTCCCCTGCAGCTCTCTGAATTACACCCAAGATTCAGCCAATTAATTTAGATGAATCAAAGTCCGGTAGATTTATGATGGTGTTGCAGTAAAGACCGTGGAGGCAGCCTGGACACTGGACTAAAAGCAACAGTGAGAAGTAATCTGGCAAACAACCAAGACTAAGTAAATCATTCCACCTAAAGCGCAGAGCCACTTTCCTCGTTAGGAAACTCAATCAACCAGCAGTCACACCTCTCTCTCTTTCTCTCCCCTTCAAAGTCAGTTATTTGTTATTTTCATTATGTAGGGGCTGACTTACATCAGCTGAGCTCAGACTGCATTTACATTGGAGTTATTTCTTATTTGAGTTAAAGGTGGATCTAGGAAGCTTCTCGAAGTAATATTTTTGTCAGAAAAAACATTTTGCACTAAGATTTCGTAGAAATAACCATGAATTAAATGTCGGCAATGGTAATGTGCAAATTACATAGGTATGAATGTGAGCCTTTTTACAAAATTGAAGGTTCTGCAGCTTTGTGTGTTCACACAAATACAGCCAGCTTTCAGAACCACTTGCATTCTAGTAACAATTATGTAAACTAACAGTGAATTATATCTGTGGCTTCTGCTTCAGAAAGTTTTCAACATTTCAGAAATTGTGTTGCATCCTCTTTTATCTTAACTTTGAATTGTATATTCTTTAGTATCAGACGGGTCCTGAACTATTAAATCTCTATATCTCTGTATAAAACACAAAGTAGATACGCAGTTTGAGTGACTGGAATACTTGAGTTTTCTAACACCATCCAAAAAGTTGGGAAAACAACTTTCTGTTCTCCAAATCTAATCCAAACTTCAAATATCTGTGTTTAGTTGTTGCTGAACCCTACTAGTCCCTCCAGTGGTTGAGTATTTATTCTCCTTTCCCTTTTGTTAGTGATTATTTTTTAAATGGACATTATTTTTAGAATCAACATTGCAGTGGTGGGCACCTCTAACTAAAACGTTAGTTATACTAACCCCAAAGCTCTTCAACAACACAGTATTTAGCAGAACTAATGCTAAACGCTAACTTCAATTTAAATTATATCTACCCCTGCAGGACTACAACCCTCAAACACCAATTAAATTTTGACATTACAATTTACATGTTCAATAATACCTGTTAGATATTGAATTTATGTTTATATTTTGCTCCTGTATGTCTTTTGGTTGAAATAGTCATTGAGAAAAAAAAGAGGATGCGAGGAGAGGAAATGGAACTTCTATTTTCAACCACTTCAAAATAAGAACATGAAGATAAACTTCTATTTGAAGAATTATTAACAGATTATAACTAAAACTTTAACAGAGATGTCAAGTGTTACTCATCAGAAAGCCTAACAAATCAACAAAGTAATTTGGGGCTTTAGATTTTATCTGAAAAAATTAACCCAGGTGAAGCTAAGCTTGCAAAAATGCTAAACAATCACATTAACAGATTAGTGGAAATGTGCCCACCATTACAATTTTTCTCTAAACCTTCTACTTATTACACTGATTATTTTAACTAAACTCTCACTTTGCAGTCCGTTGGACAGCAGCCATTTTGACTCATCAGGGAACCTGAGCCCCGTCAGTTCCCAGCTGAGCTCTGAACTCGAGGACCGCCACCCTCCAGAGTCCTGCCCCCCCAGCAGCGCCCGTACGCCTCTGTGCAGTGAGGCCTCCAAATCGTTTGAGGATGAAGAGCTGGAGAAGGAAGTGAACGGACTTCCAGAATCTGGTGTGAACAAAGACCGGAAGGATTCTTCAGTTGTCTCCCCAAAGCAGAGTTTGGCGAAACACGATGACACAAATCTAACACAAACTTGGTTTGTAATTAAATTTTTTTAATATTATTGTGTTTGTTGTTAAAATTGCAGGATTATGCAACATTTATGTTGATAGTTTCTCATGAAACTGGTAAACAACTGGTGTATTCTTGTTTCCCAGTCTCTTTGACGACGGCCCACCGCCTTGCTCTCCAGCTAAAGTTCGCTGGCTGAAGGCTTACAACAAAGTGAGGTTACAACTCCATGAGGTAGGAAGCACTGGTTCCCTCTCCTGGTTCATCTCTTTCTCCTACACACTTAGTACCAAGACAAAATATCTTCAGAGTAGATCCAGAGATCGACTCTGGATCTTTCACATAAGCCTAATTATGATAGCATCACTCTGCACACACTGACATGCTGGTTCTCTGTGTTTGTATGATGCTTTGCCTCTCTTTCCCTGTGTGTTGGTTGAATTTCTGGCCATGCCTAAAGATTTTGCAACAATTATGTTTTCCATTAAGGATTTTAGTAGTCATCAACATCGGAAATTAGGTAGAGACATTTCTTTTATCCGTAATGAATCTAAATTACACTTACAGGCTCAAATATATACATACATTAGCCTTAGCCATTAACAAGCTTCTAGCCAGAGCTGGACAATAAATCAATAACAATATATGTCGTGATTGGCATGTGATCAGTATTGATAGATAATACATCTGAAAGAATATTTACCAAACACCACACAGCATTCTGGGGGATGTAGGCAGAGGAATATGGCTTTAGCTGCTCACAGCTAGCTAAAGAGAGTTGGTGGACTCAACTCTCTCACTCACTCTTTGGTTACTTAGCAACTCCCTCACTCTTTGGTTACCTAGCAACAAATTGTTGAGTATATTTAGCAGAAACTGTAAGATTTTGCCACCATGCCTCATTACTGCTTAAAAATAAAAGAAACAGCAGCGTGGACTTAAAACTGTGGCTAAAACAGAAAAGGTGTTTTAGATATTTGAAACAAAAAGGTAATGAATAATTATTGATACAGACTGATAAGGAATGCTTATATCATAACACATTTTCCAGCTATATTGTCTGGCTAGGGTTAATGGGTTAATGGCATAGTTCTGGCTGGATAATTGGTGGAATCCATTTAAATTATTTGGTCTCTTGTTTTAAACACAGGCTGCAAATTATTAACAGGGTTTAGGTCACTTCGCCGCTAGTACATGAGGTTGATTGACAGCGCTGAGACTCGCCTCCTGGCTCTGGTTGGTTGTTTTTGGTTGGGAATCGTCCATTTGGAGGAGGTGCAGGAGATCGATCTTTTCACTGATTATTTGTCTCATATTGTCACAACATAGTGACAGTTTTAACAAATATGTAAAAAACATGTTTGTTTTTTAATTTACATATTGCGACTTTAAGGGTGTAGAAGCCATATATAGTGTGTGGAGAAAAAAGCCACTACTATGCTTGAATGTAATACAGGAGAATTTTATTTATAGTTTTTTCTGACTTAAATTTAACTTGAGACGGCATTAAAAAAGGTCTTAAAAAGTTTTAAATTTGACTCACTGGAACTTTTATGATTTATTTTTCTTCCTGCCTTCCCTTTGACATTTTTAAAGTCTAATCATTTTCTGAAAATGTTGGTGAAACTTATCAAAGTCCCTGTTCAGTTATCAGTTTTCAGAGTTACGTTAAATTCCTGACTTTGCCCAACTTTTGTCATCATTAATTTAGCTTCCCTCGTTTTCTTCAGCGAACATCCCTGCCTCTGTCTCAGATGCTCAGCAGAAAGAGATGGCTCCCTGCTTTGCTCCTGGCCAGCAGTTATCACATTAAAGACAAAAATAGTGCCTGTGTTTCTGCAGAAAACAATGTAGCATGGCAACAATATTACATTTCTATGGAAACACAACCTTAAACAAGTGTAAGGTTAGGCTGTGATCGCTGCAGATGGTGGAAACCACAGTGGGAATTCTCCATGTTCAGACATTTTCATTAATTTATTACAGATTTTCAAAGAAGGGATGATATTTTAGTTAAAACTTATAATTTTATTTGGATGGATGGATGGATGGATGGATGGATGGATGGATGGATGGATGGATGTATGCCTTAATAATTGGATGGATGGATGGAAGAATGGATGGATTGAAGGATGGAGGGATGGATGGATAGACCTTCTTGGATGGATGGATGGATGGATGGATAATCCATTTTCTAAAGCAGAACTTTTATCTTTTATCTGTATTAAATCCTGGGGACCGCCAGAGCTTCAGTTTCTGTGTGAAAACAACATCTTACCCCAGTTCAACCAGGAAACGATCATTTTGATTCCTCTCTCAAAGAGAGGCCCTCATTCCAACACTCTGAGCTCCTCGTCCTGCAAAAGCAGCGTCACTGTGTACGACGGCGCAGCTTTTAAGAATAATCTTCATGCTCTGAAAGCAAAGCCAGGAGCTGCATCCTTCTTCATCTTTTGTCAGTTTCACTAAGTGGTCTGTCTGGCAGATTTCCAGAGGAGAGAGAACTGAAGCCGGGAGAGAGGAGCAGGAGGGCGGTTCATTTGCAACTAAAATCCTCTGCAATTATCTGCAGTGATGTAAAATCAAGACGGCAACATTTTCAAAACAAATAAAAGCGTTGGGAGACAGTTTAAAATTCTGATTTGACTCCAAGATGATGCAGCAAATTCTTATAATTGTAATTCTATGATACCCTTTTAATTTAAGTTTATTATGGAGTGAAACACCTTTTTCTCCCTATAAAAATAATTAGCTCCTCTAAATATAAATAGTTTTATTCACACTACATCTGCACTTCGCAGCTCTTCAGTCGGGAACTGAAGCAGTGTGAGGAAGCAAATACGTTTGAAAACAACTTTATTCCCTTATTATGCGGATGGTTTATTAACCAGCTGATGAATATTCTGGGATGGCTGTTTGAGCGACTCGACAGGATTAGCTTAGTGGTGGGGAAATGACTACAGTCACTCAGACGTGACATGAATTTCAAATCATCAGTAATAAGTTCGGGTGAATTTTTCTTCTATTGTGAAAAAATATTGATGGGATGGAATAGCTTTTTTTTAGTTTTTTCTTGTCTGATTGACAGTTTTTACTCCACGCAGTTGTTTTTTATTTTCAGCAATAGGAAGACACAGTGGCGAAACCTGAAACTGCTGCTGCGCTAGTTACTCAACATGTTGCTTGCTAGGCAACCATAGAATGAGTGAGTTGCTAGGTAACCGAAGAATGAGTGAGGTATTTAGTTGCCTTTTCTAATCTTCATGCTAGCATCATTTATGTTTTTATTACGTTATTTATTTTGCTCTTTTTGCACAGGGTCATGGAGGTTTGGATTTCTTTTCCCCCTTAATAATTAACATTTTAATTTAATTAAGGTTAATTAAAATTTTGTTAATTTTGTTTTTACTTGTGTTGTCTTTAACTAGTATTTAAAATTGTTAGATGTTCTGAAACATTTAAAGTAACTAAACCTTATTTTTGCGGAGGGTGATTGACAGCGCTAAGACCCTCCTCCTGGTTCTGATTGGTTGTTACTAGTTAGCACTGGGAGATATCTGACTGATATCATTCAGTCACATATTCATAAATACAGCATATTCAGTTTCAGAAAACATGTAAGAAAAATATATTTTTTTAATTAAAGTTACATACTGCAGCTTTAACAATGTTTTTACCAGAAGTAGCTGGTATGAGTTCAGTAGATACACAGTTCCACCAGATGCTTGCTAATTGGTGCTGGCTAGTCTGAAGGAGCAAATTGGGGGAGCAAAGCAACACTCCAGGTACGCTTTTGATGAGGGAACCAAACTAAAACAGTCAATTTTACATTACACTGCCCCTTTAAAGAATTAAACACTAAACATAACTGACAGGATAAGGGGCTCAAAACGAATTAGCTTTGAGGGATTTTCAAGCTAGCCTTAATTGTATTGATCTCCATTCAGGTTATAAAGCAGAAAGAAAAAAAAACAGAAACAATCATGATAACAGCAGCAGAACAGAGAGCGGGAGACCGAGGGGAGGATGAGTTCTTCTGGTGATGACGAATGATGCTCAGCATACTAACAATGCCGCTCCGTGAGCGACCCGCCGCTCTGACTTTGGCTGAAAGTCACCGTGGAAATCATGCCTGTGGGGGAGCTCGTCTTTATGCCCCGATGTTTGCCTTCCTGCTAAACGTTAGCGAGGGAACTTTGCTTTTATTTTTTAATCTCCTCCTGTTTTATTACTCGCGAGACAGTAATAGTATGAATTTAACTAAAGTGGGATCAGATATTTAATGTTCACTTTAATTCCCCTCAATGGCAGGATGTGCTTCTCTGCGCCGCCTGCCGCTGTGTCTGAGAGCCGTTATTAGCTTCTTTTCTGCTGTTTGCCTTTTCACACAAGTGGTTGTTACAATTTGCAGCTGGTAGATGAAAGGGTTGAGGCAGTTTTATGGCTGCATTGACTGAACTCAGGGTTTTTTTTTGTTTTTTGTTTTGCTCATAAGCTGCGGTTATGATTTGTGTTCCTGATGAGAATCTTTTCACATGATGACGGGGAAAGATTTCCTTCCTGGTTCAGAAATGAACCGTCACAATTAGATTCTCTGCGTGACGTTTTTAATGCTCAGTCTCCATAAAACCTCTAAAGCTGGATGGAAATGAATGAATGAATGCTAGCCTGACTTAATAAGTAAACAAACAAACAAATGAAGAAACCAGTAAATGAATGGACCAATAAATCAGAGATCCATTGAATGAGTGAATGAACCAGTGCATGAATGAAAGAACAAAAGAAAGGAATGTGAGGATGAATGAGTGAGTTATTAAGAGGATGAATGAAATATTGATTTAAAAAGTGAATGGGTAAACATGAACAAACGAATGAATGAATAAATCAATGAACCACTGAATTAGCAAAAGAATGAATGAATACTTCCCTGATTTAATAGACGAACGAGCAAAGAAATGAATGAGTGAATGAACTCATTAATTATTAAGGTAATGAATAAACTTCTTCAGATTAATAAATGAGCAAAGAAATGAATTAACATGTAAAAAATGAGCAAATGAATGAACTAAAAGAAATGTGTGAATGAACTGATAAACTGAGAGGGTGAATGAATGAATGGTTGAATCTTTTTTGATTAAAAAAATGAGTAAAATATTGAATGAATGAACAAAGGAATGAGTGAAAGTGAAAAATAAGGAAATGAATGAACCAATGAACTGAGAGAATGAATGAAA